AAAAAAAAAAAAAAAAAAAAAAAAAACGTGTCTTTTTCGTCTAGATGTGGGCATTGGATCAAGATTCGGAAAACAAACAAAACAAAATAACTGTCTATTGGATCCATACCAGTAGAGTAAAATGGCAAGTGTCTAGCTCAGTTGGTACAGCCATGAATTGTTGAAATACAGACCTGAGTTTGAATCCAGATGAAGGAACTAGTTGGATGAATCTCTAGAATTACCTTGGCCCGGTAAGTTTCACAGTTGATGATATCTCAAAAGGCCGTCGCCCTTTAAGAAACAGCATTGACAAAAAAAACAAAAAAAAAACAAGAAATATGTTGGCATGCATGCAATGACAAACATGGTGCTGTGTGCAAGGATGTGTAAGACCGCACAGTGCATACACAACAGTAAGCCCCTGCATGTTTGTCCCGTGTGGATTCAATCCATAGACTGATATAGATTGAATCTATACACATGCAGCAAAGTTTTAAAATGACACTGTCTGCGATTTTTAGACGAAGACAACTGCAGTTCTTTTTTTTTTCTTAATGATAACATTTGGACCATTTCTCTGTTTATGCGTGTCATCCTTGCGCAGGGGCCATGCTAATCTTCTCTGTATCATTCCAATTTTAACGGATGTCCCGAAGGACAGACAACTGCAGTTCTAATTCCGCGAATAACCTAAATAATCCAATAGGGTCTTTTGACTCTTCTTCTTTTTCTTTCAAAAAGAGGGGATTAGCCAACTTAGCCCTAAATTATTTTATCCACTCCTGAGTCCTGATTCGCTATCCGGATTCGAACGCATGACCTGTGTACCAAAAGTTACAGTGTGTACTGCTCCGCACAAACGAAACAAAAACGGACTACGATTTTAGTTTCATTTTACCTTCTCTATTTTATTTCTTTTTTTTTAGCACAAGCGGCGCTCCTTTTTTTATTTTGGGTTTTGACTGATGTTTTCACAGTTTTGAAAAGCGAAATTCGTCGCAAACAGTTTTGTGAAAACAAGCCTCTAGCGAGGCCTGTAAATGAACCTTCGAAATCAGATTCGTCTTTCTCGGCTCTCAGCATGCGTACAAAGTTACAAACAGATGACGATCAAGCTGGCGACTAGCGCCCACACAAAGCTCAGAGATAATGATACATGCCCAGTTGGGCAATGTACGTAGAGCCAAGGATCCGCAATGTGATAAAAAGGAATGATTGGACAATGCAATGTCAGTTGAGCATCAACAAGCAACGTACACCCTGATACATACAAAATGGCACATAATAGCGCAACGGAAGACTTTAAGATAAGTCCTGACCTGACCGGGACTGACACGACATCCCATCATACATCACACATGTGAGAGGAGGAGGAGGGACCGCACACGAGGAAGAAGGGTCCCTCCTTGTACACGCACATGGGGAGGTACCACAGACAAGAGATGGGAGGAGAGCGAGAGACGAAGATGGAGGTAGGTCGCAATAGCGAAGTCCAAAAATAGTCAATTTCCGATGTCCAATCAATGTCTGTCTCCAAAATGTCGAATCAGATCCTGGGCGCCATGCCCATGGTAACCCCTGCCTGTATCGTCTGCCTGTAACCACTCTCACTCTCATATCTGAAAAGAAGAAGAAGAAGAAGAAGAAGAAGAAGAAGAAGAAGAAGAAGACGAAGAAAGAGAGAGGAGAGAGAGAGAGAGATGGAGGGGGAGACGAAGAGATCGTTCTCTCTGCTGTCTCACCTGCAGGAAGACCGCTGCTGTCTTGTGCAGGTTGTGAGCGGAGTCCCAGCTATCGCGCCAGGTAAGTCCGCTGTCCGCAGGTATGGCCTCTGTCCTCTCCTACCTACTCCCCTACCTAGTTCGCAGCGCAGCGCTAAGCTGCAGCGCTGGTCTAAGAAGTGAGCTACCCGAACTGTCCTGGCCCAGCCGCTGCCCAGCTATATGTAGCGCTGGGCGGCTGGACCTACCTGGTGCTGGCCTCAGAAACGGCCCAGCTGGTATGGGTCCCTACCGGACAGCCAGACCATGCTGCTGATGCAGCAGCCGCAAAAACGCGCCAGGCCTGGATCAGGCCCTGTTCCTGTGCACCTGGCCCAAGGCGCTGCCTAGGTGCCAGAGGTCCGAAACGGTACCGGTATCGTTGAGTCAGGCACCAAAACGCGCCTGGTTTCGGGAGGGCCTCGTATCTCTGTACCTGGCCCAAGGCGTTGCCTTGCGGTCTACAAGTCGGAAACGCCGTCTGCACAGACAAGGGACAAGGCAACGGTAAGTAAATAAATAAATAAATAAATACTGCCGCCTTTATGTGAAATCTGCGGCTGGGGGCCGCCGCAGGCCTCCAGGGCGCATGTCTGATGGCATGCGGCCTGGGGGCCCCTCAGCAACCGCCGGGCCCCTTGAAATGGGCCCGTATGCAGGTGCAGCATGTAACACCCCCCCCTCCTTATGAAGTCAAGGCCGGGTCGAGGGTGAAGCTGACGATCTGAAGGTGGAGCCTGGACGCGGGTGCGACGTGGAGCCGAAGATACCGGCTTGCCTTGCATCTTGCGTTCGTAGTGTGCGAGAACATCCGGAGCTGTTGCTTGGAGTTCTGCACGGGCCAACCAACGGTCAGCTTTGTGGGTGCAGTGCGCAAAGTGTACCAAGTATTCGGTCGGCCTGTTGCCGTAGCGTCGCTGGGAGATGATGTCGCCGACCTCTTGAAAACCGTCCATAGAGGGTGGGTCTTGCGATCGTCGCCCAGGAAAGTCGTCATGTTCCGCTGGCGTGTAAAGAGCCAACTTGGAGCAATGAAAGACCGGGTAGACGGGCAAGTGGGCGGGCACCTGAATGATGAAGGAAGGTCCTTTGGGTGCACCCCCAGCGGGTGCCACGATCGGCCAGGGCCCCATCCATTTCAGGAGGAGCTTGCGAGAGATATCTTGTTCGAGGCTGAACTCCGCAGCGGAAACCCGAACGAGATCGCCAGCACGGAATGGACAAGGAAGACACTGGCGATTGGCCTGTTCGATCATGCGTTGCTGCGTCTTAGCCATTTGGTTGCGTGCCTTGACAAGTAGCTCTTGCATCCGATGCAAGAAGAGAAAATGGTCGTCACTCTCGACCGCTCGTGGAATGATTGTGTCCAACGGAGAAGTGACCGGCGAGCCGTGCTCGAACTCGAAGGGCGACATCCCGATAGCCGGGTGGATGGACGAGTTCTATGCCAACTCGACATCCGGCAGCCGGTCAACCCAATCCTTTTGCTCGGGACGGATGAGAGCGCGAAGGAGAACCTGTCTCCGTTTGGCCATCGATTTGGGGGTGGCGAGCCAAACTCGGCTTGAGAGATGAGCCCCATCGTTTGATGAGCGCCAACCAAAAATCGAACATGAACCGAGTGTCGCGGTTGCAGGCGATTTCCTTGGGGTAACCCTTGGTTCGAATCCAACCGGCATAAAGAACCTCGACCAACTCTGGTGCCTTGGCATGATAGCGGCAAGGCAAAAACATGGCGAACTTGGTGAGTCGGTCGACCACCGTGAGAATCCCATCCACACCGGTCTTGTGCTTGGGGAACGGCCCGGTAATGTCCATGGCAATCGCTTCCCTTCGGCGCAAGGGGGCCGGTAATGGTCGCAACTCTCCGTATGGACAATGATTGCAGGATTTGCAGTGTCGGCAAACCTCGCATGACTCGCAAGAGCGTGTGACGTCGTCGAAAAGGCCGGGTCACCAAAAGCGCTCGCGAAGTCGGCCAATCGTTCAATTGACTCCAAAGTGTCCGGTGGCGGGAGCATCGTGGAACTCGCCAAGAAGCCGTGTACGCAAGTGAGAGTCACTTGGTACGCAAAGAAGGTCCTTCCCCCGCGTGTGGACAAGCAAGTACGCCTCTTGGATCCAATAGTGAGAAGGTACCGGATTAGGAGAGGAGCAATTCGCGTACTTGTCGCGAAACTCGGGGTCGGCTTGGTAGCCGTGGATCAAGCTGTCCCGCAGGTCGTCGTCGATCTCGAAGGTCGAATAGACTGCGGTACAATGATTCGGACGCCGTGAAAGAGCATCCGCAAAACAGTTAGACTTCCCTGAAATGTGATCGAGAAAGAAGTCGAATTGGTCGATGAAAGCCATCCAATGGGCGATCGTGCTATTGACAGTATCTTGGGTCTTGTAGAAGACCAACGGATTGTTGTCCGTTACCCATCAGAATTGACTTCGACCAAGGAGGAAGTGTTGTCACCGCTTGAGCGCGTGGACGAAGGCTAGGAGCTCCTTCTTGCGTCCATCATCAATGGAGTGCACGACAGACACTTTCTTGCTGAAGTATTCGATTGGGTGCCAGTCCACGCCATCGTGTTGTTCGAGGACGACACCAATGCCATAGCCGGATGCATCAGTAGTGACACGTGTTGGCAATAGCGGGTCGTATATGCGCAAGACTTCCGCGGATAATAACGTGGCTTTGAGGGCCAAAAATGATTCTCGCGCATCCTCTCCGAAGTCGAACGACCGATCCTCACATTGAAGCTTGGTTAAATGAGCCGCGATCTTCAAGTATCCTTTGATAAAACGTTGGTAGTAGCCGACAAGGCCAAGAAACGAGCGGACATCTGTGACGTTCCGCGACTCCGACCACTCTTGGATGGCTTGAATCTTGTCCGACAACGGACTGATGCCCTCCAGCGTGACAAAATGGCCCAAGTATTCCAGCTCGTGCCCGACAAGTTCGCACTCGTTGCGGCTGACCTTGTACTTGGTGCGGCGAAGCGTCTCCAACACTCGTCGAAGGTGCTCAAAATGATCCTCCAATGTCCTGCTATAGACGAGAATGTCGTCTAAGTAGACCAGTACGAATCGGTCCAACATTGCACAAAACTCGTTGGTCATTGCTGCTTGATAGGTCGTCGGGGCATTGGTGAGGCCAAAAGGCATGACCACCCACTCAAAATGGCCATGCCGCGTCTTGAACGCAGATTTATAGCGATCCTTCGGCCGGATCGAAATCTGGCGGTACCCTGACTTCAAATCCAACTTAGAGAAGTACTTCGCGCCGCCCAATCGTTCAAGAAGATCGTCAATACGAGGATGAGGCCCCGCATTCTTGACGGTTTGCGCGTTGAGCTTGCGGTAGCCGATGCACGATCGTAGATCCTTGTTCTTCTTCCGTACGAAGAGAATTGGCGCTCCATATGGGGAGCTACTAGGGCGGATCCAGCCATTGTCCAACAAGTCATCGAGTTAGGCGCGGAGGACCGTAAGGTCCTCGCTCATGCGATAAATGCAACCTTTTAGTGGCACGGCACCGGCCCCAAGAATGATCTCGTGAGAGATTGACCGATCCGGCACCTCACCGGTAGGTGACTCGAAGATGTCGGCGAACTCGTCAGGCAACCGCACCACACGGGGGTCCGAAGACAAGTCCGTGGGGGAAGAGTCGGCTACCGCGACGGTCCGTAGGAAGCATAGGCCTATCTCGTTGGCTGCTCGTAAGCGCAAGTAGCCCGGAACGACTTGGCCGTCACCACTTGGCACCGGATCGAAGGGTGCGGAAAAGGAATAGTACACGACACTTCGGCGCCAAAGGTGTCCCGAACGGTAAGAGTCCGCCGATGGAAGTTGACCGTGTGATCCGCACTTGCAAGCCAAGGCATTCCCAAAATAATATCGAAGTCCATGTCCAAAATGTCGAACGTCACTGGTTCGCACGCATGAGGTGTGAAATAGACCGAGAAGACCTCGTTATAACGGTCGAGAAGTTGCTGCGTCTTTCTGTCCGCCAACTTGATCGCCGTTGGGTTTGCCTTCCTTCGAACTTGTGCCCGAGGCCAGCCCTTTGCATAAAGGCTTGGCTCGTGAAATTGCGAGACGCGCTACTATCCAGCAAAGCGCTGCAAGACGCTTGCCCAACTTGGATGCGGACATGGAGGAGCGGTGCGTTGTTATCGTCGTACTGCTGCTTGCGAAACTTGCGGGCCACCTTGGTAACATACGCAAGGATGTCCCCCACAGCAGCTTTGTCATCCGTCGGCGAAGTTGGTGGTGCATAGAAGGATAAGTACGCACGGAGATGAGCGCAGAGTGCTCCGCATAGCGGTCCTGGCAAGCGACCGGTGGTCGGGAGGGAAAGCCATGAGAAATCCTCGGACGTGAGCGAGTCCAATACCTCTATGTTGAACTCGCGCGCCGAATCCTGTGAAGAACCACTTGAAGAGGCTTTCATACAGAGAAGATGCCACACACATGTCTTGTCCTTGAGCATGAGTACCCAGCGTAGGAACGAGCCGGACAGCATAGTCCTCATAAGAATATAGAAGAGGAGGACTATCGACTTCCGCATGTGCCTCGGAACGAAGGGCGGTCGCCCGCGAAGCAACCGGTTCTGAAGGTGTCGGGAGTGTCGTCGACTCACTCCCGACGGTGCTCAGTTTCCCGACTTGCCCTGGTCGTGAGGCATCAAAGGGCAGCCCATTGTTGTGTGGAGATCGTTGTTGCACCACAAGCAATAGCGAAATTTCGTGCGTAACTTGTATACGCTCTCCGAAAGACCATAGTGGGTCCAGGAATCTTGAGCTGCTGCTCTGGGCCCGGGGAATGTAGTGTTTGTCTTCGATTTGCCACGTCCTCGGCCTCTGCCAGGACGACCACCATCCCGGGCGGCTGAGAGTCTGTCCCCTTCATAGGCAGACATGGCCTCGCTTGAGAGGTCGGTTGATGTTGCCGCTGCGACCACAGCCACTTTCGGCCGATGCTGTTCTCTGCTCGGGCCTGTCGCATGTGAGAGGTTTTTGGCCTCCGTGTTCGTGACGATGATCTGCGCAGCCTTGTTGAAGAGCTCCGTTGTTGTAGTGAGCGTGTCTGCGACTTGAGTCAGCGCCGTGGACAATGTCGAACACGACCTCGAGATGAAGTAGTGTTTCATAGCTTGAAAGCCCATTGGTACGCCTGGTATGGATGTCAAGCGTTGGAACTCGGCATTCCAATCTCCACTTGGCAGCGTGTTTTGGTGGAATTTGATAAGCTTGTCCATGGCTTTCATTTCCGGCGGCTCGATCTGGAACCACTTATGCCATGCCGCTTTCAGATCCGCCCGACTGATCTTGGTATGCAAGTCGGTCGCCACCACGCCATATTTCGACAAGAGGTTGTCCAACCATGCTTGTCACGCGCCCCCCGATCGGGAGTACAAGTACGCATGGTGCTTTGCTTCGGGGACGTGGTGGAGCTGCAACTTGAGCTCGAACTGGCGGAACCAAGGAATTGGGTTCGTCTTTGTTGCGTCGCAGAAGATCTCCTGACTATCGAACTTCGGAGTCGATTCGCGTTGTGACGTGCTTGGGTGAGTGGCGGCAGTGCAGATCCGCTGCTCAAGTTGTTGAGTCGTGGTTTGCTGTAGCTGCATGCCGTCGCCGACGTCGACTTCCAATGCGTTGAGTCCGTCGGAGGTGTTGGAGGCACTGGCGACAGGGGCGGTGACCGATCGTTGCTCCAGCTGCTGAAGGCACCTGTTGACTTGATCCAACGTCCGTTGCTGGTTCTTTACCGTGTCGTCGAGGCTATGGATGTCCTCCTGCTGTGCAATGCACGTTGCCAGGAGATCCGTGAGGTGGGAGAGCAACAGCGAGATACGTGGTCTGCTGTCGCTGAATTCGCCACCTTCGGCCTCGGTCCGCCATGCCGCTGCCATAGTGAGCAAAGCTCGCTCCTCGCCGAACACCTTCTCCCGTCGCTGATTGCGTTCTTCATCGGCAGCCTTTGCTCCTGCCTCGTCGTGCTGGCGCTGCTGTTCGATCGCCAACAGATGTGCCTTTTCAGCGCCCTCCGCCTTCTTCTTCTCTGCGGCTGCTGCTGCATCCGCCCGTTGCTTGGCTTCGGTAATCAAAGCCAGCATCCGGGCCTGATAGGCTGCGGCCGTTTCTCCGGACTTCTGGTCCGTGCCGGCCGTTTGCGAGTGCGTGAGCATAGACCAGGCCGGAGGGCTGCTGACACGGCACCCCCTGCTGCTGACGTGGCACTGCTCGGCTGCTGCTGTGGCCCGCTGACGTGGTCTGCTGCTGACGTGTCACTGCTGACATGGCCTGCTGACATGTCACTGCTGACATGTCACTGCTGACGTGGCCTGCTGACATGGTCTGCTGACATGTCCTGCTGATGTGTCACTGCTGATGTGTCACTGCCTACGTATCACTGCTGACATGGCCTGCTACCGTGTCACTGCTGACGTGGCCACTTACCAATGCCGCAGTAGGGTTACCCGGAATCAGATGAAGAAGAGTAGACCAGAGGGGCAACAACATAGGTGGGGAGGGGTGGGTGCAATAAATCGCCCAGATAAGGAGCCACTAATCAAAAGAAAAGTTTGAACTTTTGAAAAAAAATTCCGAGAAATTAATAATACTACTACTAGGAAGATTCTCACGCCCGGCTGGTCCTACCCGTCCGGGCACCTGGGCGTGATGCCCGGGGGGGGCTGACGTTTTTTTTTTTTTTTTTTAAGGTTTTGTGCGCTCTCCCAGAGGACTCCAAATCCAGGCCCATTTCGTTTTTTGTGAGTTGGCTGTCAAGGGGGGGGAGAGGGGGGTATAAATTGGTTTTAAAGGGGCTAAAAGGGTCTAAAGGGGGCTGCCTTTGTGTGATTCTGTTATTTTCTTTTTTATCTCCGATTCTGTGAGGAATTATAATGTGACCCTCAGCCAAAAGTTGTTTGTATTTCAATCCCACACAACATTTTTTTTTCCCCGGAAATTTGAGTTTTTTTTTTTTTTTTTTTTGGGCGCTGGGGCTGCCCGGAACCCTGCCCGGGGATCATGCCTGGCCGGGCACCCAGGCGTGTACCCGGGCAGAAGTTGGGTGCCCGGGCGCCCGGGCGCCCGGGAAAACAGCCTAGTAATAATAACAATAACAATCATACTTGCGGCGCATCCCGTGCGCGCCACCCGCGCACATGCGGCGCACTGCGCATTGCGCAGGTGGCGCGCGCACCCGGTACGCCGCACGGGCAAAATTGGGGGTCAACCAAAAAAAAAAAAATTGGGGAGAGGGTGAATCGAAGTTCCCACGCCCAGCCAAAATTTGGACATCGGCCGCGCAATTTTTTTTCAGGGCCGCGCTGCCCCAAAAACTCCGTGTGCTGTCATGTTTGCTGTACACAACTCCATGCTATCTGCAGTGTATCTGAGTCCTTTCAGAGGTCCAATACAGTCATGATGACGACACGTCTGTGGAACCGTTGCTTTCCTCTCATTACTTCCAGATATAGAAAACGGCAGAACTGACAGTTGTGTTTCCTTGTGCTTTTGCTATAAAAAAAAAAAAGAGTGAACGTCCGTGACATCCTCATGGGGCGTGGCTCCGTTTTTGGGCAACGGATACTCCTTACAATGGGCCACGCTCCACCACTCTCGCCACTCTCGAAATGTGCAAAACGAGAGTGAATATTCCCCTAGAACAAGTAAAGATACATCGCCAAGATTTTTGTCTTTTGTGCATTTCTGGAGTGGCGCAGCGACGCCCTAAGACCCTTCTAGACTCAGCTACGGGCGTGATTCCAGGCATCATTGCCGTCAGATACATCCAGAAAAGTCCTACGTTCTTCCCTCGAATACAACGTACGGTCATTATAGCTGTATCTAGACGGAAAGATACCTCAAATACAGCTATAACGACCGAACGTTGTATTCGGGGGAGGACGGTAGTGTGAGTAGGAGATACGAGATACGCCCCGGTCTGCTTTTTTTTGTTTTTTGCTTTTGTTTTCCCAGACATACATAGTAACTGTTGTCTTTGGCCGTTCTTCTGACACTGCCAATAATGACTGTATGCGACCTGATAGTAGAGTAGGATACATTTGGGGCAGCACTGCCCTCCATACAGGGCGGAAACTTGGTTGGAGGGCGGGAACGCGGATCCAGGCCGTGTTGTCTCCTCGAAATTGCTGCTGCTCATGAATGTATCTGGCCTGGCAGCTAGAAGGATACATTCCAGGGCAACGCTGCCCTCGATCAAAGTTTACGGACGCAGCGAAGTAGTTCCCTGCACTACACACACAAAATAAAAAAAAGAAGGCCCGTGCACCAGCGGCGCACCAGCAAAGTTGCGCTGCACCTGTACGCGTTTTGTGCACGGTATGCGCACGTGCGCTCGGATCTTAGATCCGCGCACAGCACAAGGCGCACCGCACCGCATGGCGCACCACACTGGTGCGCCGCAAGTATGATAACAATAAAGTCTCGAGTTTGCAAGCTCAGTAGGTCTCCCAACCTCCCTCACATTCAAAATTACCAATAATAAAAAAAATCGAATTTACAGACTGCAATGATGAACACGGAATAATAATGAATAACTTCAATAAAGAATAATAGAACTGCGAAGGAAAAAAAAACTCGCAAGTTCAGGGAATTCCGGAAGTGAAAAAAATTCCGGAATTATTCAGATGAGAGTATGTGCAGTTTGAAAACGTGACTGCAAAGAGGGATTTCCCGTAACATTTCAAATTCGAAATGACGAATTTCGGAAATTCACAAAAAAAAACTCTTCGGAATTTTCGAAATAACGGGAAATTGCAAAAGGAAGTACAAATCAAAAATTTGAAATTTCCGTAAAATGTTCCAGATTTCTCTACAACGAAATTTCGAATTTCAAAAGAAAACAAAAATCGAAATCTTCAGATGCTGCAAGAAAACGAAACCTAAAAGGAAAAAAAAATTGATTTGGCAGTTAGGTCGAAAAAAATTTGAGATTTTGGGGACTAATTAGTATGACCTAATCAATCAATCAATCAATCAATTATTGATCAATCAATCAACCAACCAACCAATCAATCAATCAATCAATCAATCAGTCCATGATCAATCGACCAACCAACGACTAATCAATCGATCCCTAATCAACAGTCCCCGCACACGTGTCAGATCAGATTTTCCTGATTCATGTGCGGGGCCCCGATACCAACTGATACATGCCCAGTTGGGCAATGTACGAAGAGCCAAGGATCCGCAATGTGATAAAAAGGACTGAATGGACAATGCAATGTCAGTTGAGCATCAACAAACAATGTACACCCTGATACATACAAAATGGCACATAATAGCGCAACAGAAGACTTTAAGATAAGTCCTGACCTGACCGGGACTGACACGACATCCCATCATACGTCACACATGTGAGAGGTGGAGGAGGGACCGCACACGAGGAAGAAGGGTCCCTCCTTGTACACGCACATGGGGAGGTACCACAGACGAGAGATGGGAAGAGAGCGAGAGATGAAGATGGAGGTAGGTCGCAATAGCGAAGTCCAAAAAGAGTCTCTTGCCGATGTCCAATCAATGTCTGTCTCCGAAATGTCGAATCAGATCCTGGGCGCCATGCCCATGGTAACCCCTGCCTGTATCGTCTGCCTGTAGCCACTCTCACTCTCGTATCTGAAAAGAAGAAGAAGAAGAAGAAGAAGAAGGAGAGAGGAGAGAGAGAGAGATGGAGGGGGAGACGAAGAGATCGTCCTCCCTACTGTCTCACCTGCAGGAAGACCACCGTCACTGACTACCGCGTGGTTGCTGTCTTGTGCAGGTTGCGAGCGGAGTCCCAGCTATCGCTCCAGGTAAGTCCGCTGTCCGCAGGTATGGCCTCCATCCTCTTCTACCTACTCCCCTACCTCTAGTTCGCATCGCAGCGCTAAGCTGCAGCGCTGGTCTAGCAGCGTGTTGCTTGAGAAGTGAGCTACCCGAACTGTCCTGGCCCAGTCGCTGCCCAGCTATATGTAGCGCTGGGCGGCTGGGCCTACCTGGTGCTGGCCTCAGAAACGGCCCAGCTGGTCTGGGTCCCTACCGGACGTCCAGACCATGCCGCTGATGCAGCAGGCGCAAAAACGCGCCAGGCCTGGATCAGGCCCTGTTCCTGTGCACCTGGCCCGAGAAATTAATTATAATACTAGGAAGATAAAAAGTGTGATCCTAGGGGAATGCCATGATACTGAAGGCCATTTTGGGTGGACGAAGACCTATGCTAACCTTTTGCGTTCCTATACCTGGCCTCGAATGAACCTGATTGCATTTCGTATGTGCAAAGCTGTCAAGTGTGTCAGCGAAATAAGAGCACCACACAGCCTCCCCTTGGTTTATTAAAGTCGTTGCCTATCCCAACAGGTCCTGGAGACTCTGTGTCTATTGATTTCATGGACACTAAGGTAAAAAGCAGGAATGGGAAAAGTCAAGTTACGGCAATTGTTGACAGATTCACTAAGTTTGTCATCTTCATAGCATTACCTGCGGAAGCTAGGACTGACTTAGTGATTTGGGAATTCTTTAACCACTGGATAAAGGACTACGGTCATCCCTTGACTATTGTTAGTGACAGAGACTCTCGGTTCACCGGTGAACAATGGCAGCAACTAATGAATGTCTATGGCTCTAAATTGACAATGTCGTCAGGCAGACATCCTGAGACAAATGGGCAGACTGAGCAAATGAATAAGATTCTGCAGCAGATGCTGCGTATGTACATCCGTCCCGGCCAGATTGACTGGGATGAACATTTGCCCAAAGTTGCTAGTGCCTACAATAACTCTGTGCACTTGTCTACTTGTAGAACCCCGATGGAGTTGCATTTGGGATGGCATCCTCGCAGACATGTAGATTGTCTGAACCCAGATCAAGTACATAAACTTCCGCTAGGAACTAGAGAATTTGCAATACAGTATCAAAAGGACTTGGAAAAGGTAAAGGAAAACATAATAAAGACGAGCATCAGATGATTGAACAGGCTAATAAACACAGAAGACCTTCTCAGTTTGCTGTAGGCGATCTGGTATGGTAAAATCGAAGGAATTTATCCCCTAAGAGAACATTTCTCAAAAGTTGTTACCTGCCTACAGAGGACCTTGGCAAGTATTGGATGTGATAGGAGACATAGATGGACCCTCCTACGTTATTGAGATACCTCCACACTTGCATACCTACCCAGTATTCCATCCATCAAAGCTCTTACCTTGCGTGACTAACGAACTATTTCCTAGTCGAAGATCAGCAATTCCTCCAAGTATGGATGGGAAATTTGATGTTGATAAAATCGTTGCTGAAAGTACTATTCAGACTGGACGTAGAGGAAGACCTCAGCGGCAATATAAAGTCAGATTTGCATATCAGGATCCAAGTGAAGACCGCTGGTACAGTAGAGAAGAGCTAATGGAATCTGCACCAAACATAGTGTCTTACTATGAAAGAGCAAGAAGAGGTGCTAATATTGTAGACAGATAAGTGTTTCTCAGAGGACTTCGAAATTAGGCCGGCAAGAGTAAAAGGGCCTTTACGATTCAGACCCCTAAATGTGACCCCAATATAAAAGGGGCTCTGTCAGCCAGAAAATTTCACGAGCAGCATTCCAAAGGACAAGTTCTCTGAAGAAAATGCCGCATCCAGAGTGAAAAGAAAAGTCGTTTTTGAAAAGTCACAGTCAGGTCCTAGACGAACAGGTACTGGGCTCAATTTTAAGGCTGAGATAGGGTCATGTCTGTTCGGCAATAAGTCAAAGGTCACTGTCCCAGACGAGTCACAGTCCCAATGGTAAAATCTGATTCAGACCAGGAGTCCAAAAGACAGGCCCGTCGGCCAAAGCAGCAGCAGACCATGGGAAAGGATACTGGGACACACACTTTGCAACAACAGATACTGGGTTGGAGTCCCAGGCACTTGGAGGCTGGATGCAGACCACGCCAGACCAGTCCAGCACTATAAAGGACTGGCCAGCCTCCCATTTGGACAGATGCTCATTCGCATGAGAGTGTGGAAGTGATTGATTATATGCACTTGTGCGCTAGTTGTGAGGAGCAGCGCTATGCCAGGGAGCAGCACCAGGGAGAGATGAAAGAGAGAGAGTTGAGCGCAGGCTGGAGGAAGAGCAGCCATAGCTGTGCCAGCGCCAGTTAGTATTAATAGTAGGAATAGTTAGTAGAGAAGACCAGTGAGTAGTATTCAGAGTAGATCCTCGTGTGATAGGGAGTGTACATGCATGGTGAG